CTGGGCTGTTGTGTGTACGCCGGCTCGACGATGGAGGGCCAGTACACGGCGGCGTGCAGCGCGCTATCCCAAGAATTCGCCTCCGTCAACTCCCGGGCCAGGGGCCTACGCCGCGACCTGCAACCGGACATCCGCCGAAACCTCCGTGACCAGTGGGCCGCGACCGAACGGTTGGCTAGGCTATCAGACGCTCATTGCCGCCTCGTCAGGCTCGTCCGGTTGTTCAATGACGAGTACGGTGCGCCCATATTCTTCACCACGGTCGGTCTTCTCCTGAGCCAGATATACGCCTTGAACGACATCGTGTCAGTGGTCTTCGTCAGCGACACGTTCGAGGCCACGTACGAGCACTACGCTTACGTGATCAACGCGTTCACGTGGACGTTCGCGTGGTTCCGGCTCTGGTGGATTTGCCACCGAGCTGACGATCTCACAGGACAGGTGATGAGCAAGTACCTAGCTACACATGATTAATAAATAGAGCTTCTATGGTGTTTAAAGTTTAAACATCCAACACATCATCCATGTATAATCATACGATAAGGATTGAGAATCACAATACATTGATCAATCGTGAAATGTTAAGCTAAGAATAATATCTAGAACATCTAGTAGGTTTTTATTGATATTTTATTTTCAAAATATATTTGGATTTATTCTATACTAATAAAGTATAATTTAATTAATAATTTAAAACTCGGCGATTGGGTTTAGTCAGAAACCAATGATAAAATTGGGTTTTATTTTCCTGTTATTTAAAAAAATATATTTTTAGTACCTACCTATTTAATTATATGCTGTAATTGAGCATTTTAGAATAATAGTAATATTTCACATTTGTCTAGTTTTCTTTGAAATTCTTACATTTAAATTTGATAATGGGTCAACACACTCTAATATTAAAGCTAACAACACAAAATTGGTACTACCTATAAAACTCAAATTTGCTATGTGGTAGGTACGTGTTTGTGAGACAGAGAAAACATGTTTAGATAAATATCTTTTTAAACTTTTAAAGTCTTAACTGCCAGTGGTAGGCTGTTGTTGTGCTCGTGCAATATTAGTTATTACATTCGTTCATTATTGAACACTTGAACGCATTACAAATTACAATGTATTATTTTACTAATTGTAATTCATATATTTATTTGTTTAGGTTCACTTGACAGCAAAAATAATGCTTGAAAATGATATAAACTCGTACACAGAAAATACAAGAAAAATGGTAGGAAATATTACTAGTTGTTTTAATAAGTTTTATTGGTTTGACTGCTATTAGTTTATTGCTACAGTAATGTATATTTGCAAACAATCTATAATCTCGTTAATAATTTAGGCGCTAGATTTCTTAGACCAATTGCTTCATCGTCACGTGAGAATTACGGCCTGGGGGTTCTATGATGTAAATAAGGAATTGCTGTTCATGGTAAATATCAATGAAAATGTAATTTTATTTCAGCCCAAGTAATTTATTGATGCGTATTAAATTAGAAATTATTTATTTTGCAGGTGTTAGGTTATCAATTTGGTTTGTGTTTGATATGCACTCAATTTACGACCTCGAGCATACAACTAGTTAATAATCTAACGACAGTTCAAAAGAATTCCACATCTTCTACAGAAAACTAATAATGAAACAATAAATATTTAAAAACAATAAGACATATTTTTCAGTAGATTGTAGCCTGGCTACCTACCTTCCTATAAATATCTCTTTTTTTAATTTGAAAGTTATAAATTATCTACAATACCTTCCTACAAGACCACAGATTGGTTTGCATTTGAGTGTGCTTTATTTAAACGTAATAAGTATTAGGTGTTAATGTGTTATTATATTATATTATGTGTAGAATACTAGAATACCAATAGAATGGTAGGATTGCTAATGATTTAAAATCTGGAAATCTATTTTAGATTTAAGGTTTTAACCAGGTCTTTGCACCCGAATAATTTATTCGGGTTTCAGGTTTTGGGTGCTGGATGTATTCGGGTGTTCAAACCGGTGTTTCCGAATTGCGGACAAAGTGACAAAAACCATGTGAGTTGCGGACGAAATCTAAAAAGGTAACATACGAATTGCGGACACAAATATAAGATACTAATTGCGGATAATGTTACAATATTCACGTGGTGAAATTAGTAGAATATCATATATACAGGCTGTTTTAAAACTATGACGATAATCTATAAATATTTTATAAACAATTTTTTCCACAAAATTAAAACAATCTATAATTCAACAACATTTTAAAAATAACGATTATTCTTTTGCAAGACACAAATATTTTTAACCCCACCTACCAATTTTTTTTTTAGCTTTTGTCATAAGTCCTGAAAAAGTGGTGAAGGGATATATTTGTGTCCACAACTAACGTAGTTTTTATTAAAAAAAAGCTCTGTACGCAATTAGTATTATGACAACGAAACTCGTGTCCGCAATTGTTATATTATAATTCCTAACCCGAATAATTCGTCCGCAACTAGTATGTGTCCGTTCAAACACCCGAATAAAAAAATCAAATAAACGTTTGGGCTTTAATAACTGTTATTGTTCGACTTTATATTGGTATTTGGTCAAATATGCGGGTGTTTAGTACCTAGGTACCTAGTCTAGGAAAATACATAATTCCTTATAGTTACCTATTTTTATTAGATATATTTGTCAAAAATGTTTTATTGTTTCAAAAGTAAATTACTATATTTGGTTGCTGTCAACACATAGCTTAGTTGTTTTTTGTCTCAGCTCCAGACCAGACCCTACCATACACGTCAAACGTCAATATTTTATATTGCTATTGGCTATATTTGGATTTATTCCATACTAATTAAGTATTTTCGGTTAAAACCAGTTAAAAGTATAATTTAATCAATAATTTAAAACTCGCAGATTTGGTTTAGTCAGAAACCAATGATAAAATTGGGTTTTATTTTCCCGTTAGGTAGGTACTTAAAAAAATATACTTTTAGTACCTACCTATTTAATCATATGCTGTAATTGATTGTAAATCCTGTCCTAATATCATTATGGTATTAAACAAACAGCTAACCACATAAAATACATACAAAATATAAAAATGATATTAAAATATTATATAACATAAAGATAATAAAATAAAAACTATTCCAATTTCGGGTTGACCAGAATGTTATTAAAAAAAAAAAATCATTCGGGTTATGTGAGTATCGGTTGTTTTTTTTTAATTTTTTAACTGTTAGGGGGTAACGGGTTCCAGTCATTTCAGGTGCAATTGTGTGGTCTTAACTTGAAATGTTAAATAAATATTGACATATTGTTAATCGATATTCGATACCTCCCTAAGCCTTTTTTTTTTTAATAAGGCTTTAATTAATAATATTATATTACATTAATATCTCACGACGTTGCAATGCAACTCGCTAATAAACGACGCCGTGTCCGATGTTGTAAAATTAATAGCACAACTTTATCCAATAATTTATGCTCGAACAGACCTGGCACAACAACGATAAATGTCCCCCTAATACAAGCTTAATCAAATTACTTAATAATAATTCTTCATTGGAAAATAACAAGTATAAACACTTAGGTTAAGCTGCGGCGTGATGCTAGGTTAGGTAGGTAACTGTTACCTGGTAACATAAGACCTAGGTAGTACTTGTGTAAGTATTTACAGCTCTTATAACATTTTAAATAGAAACATAGGTACATAATAGACATTCTAATGGTTTAATTTGTTTTAATTTTTGGGTAGAGTGACAAATGTCATAATTTCCTACTAAATGCTAATAGAGGTACCGACCACCATCGCTCTACAGGTAGGTAACTGAATGTTGGGAGACGGGAGTGCAGCCGTACAAGCAAGACCAATATAGTAATATATGACATATCATAAAAATAATATTAAACTTCACAATTTAATTTTTGTTTACGACTCACTTATTCGCTTTTTCAAATCCATAATCAATTTTTTTTACCAATGATTCTTTGTTAAACAACAATTTGTCACCATGATTATATTATTATAAAAATAGTATTTTAGGAATTTAATATAATATAAATATATGGTTTTAAATTATTAAAAATAAGCTTGTAGAAATATAGAATATTCCCAAGTTATTTTATGTAAGCCTCAAACAAGATATCTCAGTCACTCATTTTCCTATGACCTGACTGTGACCCACCGGCCACCTTACATTTATACAATTGGTAAAAGTATGAATTTCTGAAAACTGAGATATAGAAAACCCATGTGTAGTGATTAGCGAATAGTAAAATACTCCTTATCCTTTCTATCAGTACAATTCCGTAAGATACAGAATATATCATTGCATAGTTGCAACAGATAATTTGACAATTAATGACACAAAGAAAAAAATTTAATCATTTTGAGTTAAGTACTGGTACAGTCGTACAGATAACAGATCGTTATCTGTATGCAATAACTTAAAAATATAAAGAAGCCTATCGTTCACATTCTCACAATGTCCAACCACACAATTATATAATGCTATTCATATTATTATTATATAAAAATACATAAAAGATGTTTTTAAAAATATTCTTTTAAAGGTTACAAAGGTTTCAAAAATTCAAAACAAGCCAAATATTCAAAATATGTAATATTAAGGGAAATACAAAAAAAAAAAAAATTGCAAAATTAATTTAATTTAATTAATACAATTTAACTTTGTACACAGGTATTAGATAAAGAATAATTAATATTTAATAGTCTTAGAATCAACCATATAGGTTGATAAAATATAATTACAAAATTAATAAAATAATTGTCAATATTATGTTATTTTAATAAAACTAAACATACAAAATATGAATAAATGTGTCCAATTAATAAAAAAAAAAACATTTTGGTGTATTGTTACATTGATATCTAATTAAAATAAATTAATATATATATAAACGCACCGAATAGGTTTTCATAAACGGGCCGTTCAGAAGGAGCGAGTATGTTTTGTACTGATCAATTATTATTTACATGGGCACAGTCTTAAAAAATTATTTGTTAACGATCTAAATTATATCCTGGGAACAAATACAACAGAGTTTTGGCCAATTTCACATTAACATTCATGGGATAACTCTTCCCCAATTCTGCTCTACATGAAGGACATTGGAACACATCAGCATTGAATGATCTTCTAAGACAACCCTGGAAAACAAAAGTAATAATCATTAATTATTAATTAGTATAATTAATAATAAACAATTAAAAATATAAATACATCTCAAGTAAATTAATTTTTACTCACTTTACAAATGTTGTGAGAACATTCAGTTGTAATTGGTTCAAAGACAATTTCTTGACAACATATGCAAGAAAACATTTCTTCAACTCTATCCAAAAATGCCTAAGATTAACACGCCCCAAAAAAAAATTGTTAGTATGTTTAATATTTCAAAAAAGTAAGGCTGTCGTATAATATGCGGTCACCGGTGATTTACAAATGTAGTATGCGGTCTCTAACAAAAATTAATAATTTTAAAAGAAATAAAAAATCTTTAAAATATAATAGTATCATTCCATGAAAAAAATAAGGTTGTTTGACATCCCTATCATTTACAACATAATACTCTCCTTTCTTTGCCCATTTCCTAACGTATGTAGAAATTGATCTCACACTTTGCAAACATTGGGCATTTTCATTGTTCATCAAAACACTTTATTAATTACAAAATTGGTGGTTTATTCATCAATATTTGTGATAAAATAAAATAATTTTGCCTCCATATTGTGAACCAAGGTAATATGTAGAATAAATTGTAGTGTTGCACATAAATGACGTACTGAGCGACCGAGCCCATACTTTCACGAAATGTGGAAGCATTGTTATCAAAAGTCATAAAGTATACGGTTATAAACATTAAGTGCTAATCAAAGAAAAGAGAATAGATCTATTAAAGACTATAACCCCTTGTAAAAACCGGCCGGCACCAGGTAGACTACATCCTATAGCAAATGACAACAGCTGGTAGAACACGTTTGCGGGTAGACCGCATATTTATGACAGCAAAAAGTACTACATAGCACATACTTTTTTGCCTTTTTCTAAATACTCTTTACAGTCTTCCCAATATTTTGTATTGGCCACATCAGTTTTAATGAGTGTTTCTGCTTCTTTTTCAAGTTCATACATTATTTTTGATTTTTTTTCAGGATTATCAGTGACTTCTCTTTCAGAAGAATTTTTCTTTGAATCATTATTCTTACACTGCTCATTGTCCTCAATGTCAGCGTCCTGTAGTGTTCTTTTTTTTTTAGATCCAGGTAATTTTGATTTTGTGCCGTTGGTAGTAACAGTAGGTATAATATAGTTTTCAGGATACTAAAAATCACATGATATTATTAACACAATTTACAATATTGTATATAATAACATATATCTCACAATTAATTTAAGGCCTAATTGTGTTATACGCTTTTTGCCTTGTGCAGTCCAAGGAGCTGGCGTGGGATCATCGCGTCTTAGAACAAACCGCCATACAGTGAATCCTGATATTCCAGTTTCAGGATAATATTTTATTACTTTATAAAGACCATCGTACCTATAAAATAAGTAATTTTAACATTTATAATGTCAATACTTTTTAAATTCTCATCCATAACAATTTTAAATAAAATCTAACTAAAAAACAATTAAATATGAAATTATGGGGAGCAAAACAAGTAATGAAGTAATAAATATTTTTAAACTAATAAATCTTAAAATCCAGATGTATAATACAACGTTGATACACCCAGTGTTGCTGTAGGCATGCATGGAGGAAACAGGGATCAATAATATGAACCGTAATCGAAAACAACAGGAAAATGACCAATGGAAAGATCTAGTTTAAAATGGGGGATTATGTTTTCTAAAGAAGAAGGAAGGCTAGAAGCTAGAATGTAATGGAGGGAAACAGCAGAGGACAGAGATAGATGGAGGAATTATACTTAGAAGGCTGGTTTTAAAGGCCGTTACCACTAAAAAAAAGAAAAAACTTATTACATAAAATTTAGTGAAATGTGTTTTTAGGATGTTTTGTAGGTTAAAGGCCATTTTACATGGACGTGTATCAAACGCTAAGTACTGTATGAGCTATGTACTGTAATAGACAATGTATTGATAATTTGTTTAGGCCGTTTCACATAGGACGAGTATTAATGCGACATATTGTAACCTCGTTTTTTTAGTTACATTGGCTAAATTCATATGCCCCACTCCAATGACCCTCAATGGTATGGGGCGCATAATTTAATCAATGTTAACTAAAAAAACGAGGTTATAATATGTCGCATTAATACGCGTCCTATGTGAAACGGCTCTAAACAAATTATCAATACATTGTCTATTAGCTTATTCTGGTTTACTTCAAAAACTGTAAACCAGTGATATTTTTTTTCTACTATTGTAAAATTGTAGAGTATAAATTAATAAATTATACTAATCGAATAAAAATTGCAGTTTGTCAATTTTTGAATTATAGATATAGTACAGAAATATCATTTTTTTTAATTTTTTAATTTTGGTAGTTCATAAAAAATATTCAATTTTTAAGTCCTACCGATTTCCCAACTCTGGTGCATATTCGGAATGTTTACAAAGTTTATAATTTCGTACGACTCTAACTGGCTTGCCTTTTTTCCAATCCACAGCTGTAGCTCCTTTTTCACTATCAATTTTTGCATTACAATTGAGTGCCAAAGCTCTAAAATGTAAATTTAAAAATTAGTATCATGAAAATGTATATGTAAAATTTTGCATAAATTGAATCATATAATAGACCTATTATAACGTGTCAATTCTTGGTCACAACTCTGCAGAGCAGTACGTTTGTTTCCTGACAAATCACGTCCACCAGAACCGGTGTACAAAAACTCATCACCATTGTCAACATCATCTTCATAACCACCACTTAACACAATGCTAAACGCACCCTGATTGTCTCTACCGTGTATTCCTCCAACAGGAGGACGATGAATACCAGCTTCAGATACCTAATAATAAAACATTTATCAAAATATTTGAAAAGACTGAAAAGATTTTTTTCTACTTACTTGTACACGGAATAGCCATGTGGTTCCAACCTCAACGCCAGGAATGGGACCAAAATGGTTTGATGGCACAATATTACACTTTTTTGTTCTCCCAACACATGCCATACCCTTACCCCAGTCTCTTTTTGATGTTGACATGGATTCTGGTGTCTTTTTCTTCGAAACTTTTAATTTTTCGCCAGCTTTGACAATTTCGTTTTCATCATTTTTACATGACGGACAATACCTTAAACATTTTATCAGCACATCAAAACACTCAACATTTCATAACATAAACAAAAGTGAACTGAAAAATTTGCTAACCAATCATCACGTGGCATCTCTTTCAAGGGTGGCGTTAGGCATTCCATATGGTAAGGATGATTACATTCATCACACATTAACTGTTTGTCTTCATTGTCTTTTCCACCACAAACACGACACCCACATTCCTTACATGATTTGTTCGAGTTGTCTTTGCATTTGATGCAATACAAAGCAGCCGCTCCTTTTCAAGAAAAAAAAATAAATTTAATATTATTTTTTTTTAATAATATTTCTATATTATTTGTTATTACTCATGACAGTAGGTTCAGTTTGTATAATTTTATCATCTTCTGGTGTCCGCTCCGACAGTAACTGATAGGGTTTTACTATATAGATATCATCGAGAAACATCAAATGACAATTTTTTAACACTGCATTATCTAACCCAACAGATACATCTCCAATAACATCACGGCCTCTTCTATTAGTTTTTATCTCTTTCACCAGTACATCATACCAATAACCGCGTTCTTGTGGGTAATCAACATTGTAATTCATGAGAACTCTATCGTTTGTTTTTAACTTTTCAAAAGGCAAAATATCAAATGCATGAGGCCGTATTTCTTGCAATTGAACTTCAATGGGAGGTTCTTCAGGACATCTAAATATATATATTTATCAACAGTCATAGAATATAGAAAAGTGTAAAAATAAATATAAAGCATTTACCGTAAGATCTCTGCAACATAAACTAGCCCATCGTTTTCCACTGGACTTTTAGGATCATTTGGTTTATTTACTACACAGTTGTCTTTTTTTATCTTGATCAATTTACTAATGAACCATGATCCGTAGGTATAATCTTTTACATCAACATAATCACCGACTTTAAAATATTTGCTCTCCTCAGAATTATCCTAGAAAAATATAATATAATAGAATCATAGAGTTCAGGTAACTATAAAATATTTACTTCATTCAATGCTGAACTAGTGGTAGAAGAAGAACTTGGAGTAGGTGTTTCTTTTATTGAATTTATTGTTACTTTTGATTTTTTTGGAGAGTTTATTTTAGCAACAGCTACCCTAACCATTAGTTGAATAACATCATTTACATTTATACTATAGTCAAATAGCCTATATTGGTCTTCCAGCTGAAACATAAACATTACAATAATTTATTGTTAAGAACTAATACAATTTAAGTTAATTTAATTCAACACATGTATATATATTATGTTGTATCAAAATATATCTATACAAGAAAATTTCCAAAAAAAAAAAAATGAAATAGTTAGGAACCTACAGGCTATATTTCCTAATATTATATTTATACATATGTCACATACAAAGTACAAGTCAACTATAGTGAGTGTCAAAGAAAACCATTAATGTAAGTAGGTGGTAATTCATTACCATATACCTATGTGGCTATATTATATTTGAATATCAGTGATGTACTATAATAAATAGCGCACAAACCAGTGACATACACAAGAGGGATGTTTTGGGGTTATGATTCATAACCCCAAATTGTGTCATAACTTATGACACACTTCTTGAACCACGTCATATTATAATATATTATTTAGTATATTAAATAATTTTTTGGTTTTTTCTATCAATAGGTATTAATAATAATATATTTAATACAACATATTGGAACAAAAAAAATTGTTTGTATTCATGATTCAAATGGCTCATAATGTACACATTGCCCATGGCATATATTTATATATATATATGTATAAAGACCTAATACTATGGACTTAGACAAAAACCATCTCAAAAAAATTCTAACAATCTTAAATAGTACTTTACCATAGATAATTTTATCTATAATTGTATTGTTCAATGCAACAAAATAGTGGGCATATATTTTGTTAATATTACTAACAAAATTAATATAATATAAACAAAATAATACCTAAATATTTAATATTGTCATAGATAATCCAAAACACAGAGTTAAAATGGCATTCAAAAACATTTTAAAGTTGTTGTTTGTATGCTTTCATCGTTCTTTGAAAGATAATAGAATAAAGTATGGTAAATGAAGGTTAATGAAATTATGATAGAATTGATTCTCTGCTGCGGTTTCAGGATCACAAAATAAGTTATGTATATACAAGGGTGTCCCGTGAGGATTTACTCATTGCGATATCTCCTGAAATAATAGAGATATCGTAAATCTGTTTTCTTATTAAGACTCACAGAGATAAGCACTACAAATAACTAATTTTTTATTTTTTTTTTATGTTTTGGTAAAAAAGTTAAAAAAATTATTTTTTTAATTAATTATTTAAAAAAATATTGAAGATTGGCATTTTGTAGAGTTCATTTTTCTGAAAATATTGACGTTTCAACGTTTTAATTTCATTAATTTCCTGATTTTTAATAATTTTTTTAATTAATATAAGTAAAACGGCAAAAAACTGGTTTTTGTCCGGGCGACGAGTCCCCCTCTACGGCTAATAGGTATATCCTCACGGGACACCCTGTATATTTTATTGGTATTATTATTTTTGGATATCAGTGCAATACCAAACTGATAAAAAAGAAAATAATAACATGAGCTAGTAACTAGGAAAGTTTTATTACCAGTACTTAATGCGATAAGAGAAAATTATAATAATCTTTGTTATTAGAAGAGTTTGGCCTTCGTTCAACTAGATAACCGAGCATATACAGTGTAATCCATAAGTTGTGTTGCAAAACTAATACAGATTACATGAACATCTTATGCAATCTAGATCGAATTCGAACACATAAATTTTGGATAATATAATTTAAATTGAGTTAATACTAAACAGTGTTAGGTCATAAATAATGAAATAAACTAGATACTATAATTCATCATTATTTACTATATTTACATTATCAGAATCACCTGCTATGCAAACATAATCATAAAATATTTTAAACTGTTTAAGTTGTATATACTGGCATTTATTAATATGAATAAAGAAAATATTGTAGGTACATACCTACATTAAGTTATTGGCTACACAAAAATAATTCTATAAGTACCTAGGTAATTATATCATAAATGTGAAAAAACAAAAGGTATGAAGAAAAAATTATATACCTAACCTAAATTGCATAAGTAAATAAGTTCTATACAGATATTTTTTTGTATAAGAAATTTAATAATAATTAAATAAATTACTTTTAATTTAATTGATAATATCATGCCAGTAATGACATAATTATAAGCACAACATCATTGATAATTTAAAAGTACCCAGAGCAGAATAAAAATTGAATATGATCAAAATTGTATTATGTATACAACTCTATTACCTATAAAAGAAGCTTTTATCAAAAAAGTTATATTTATTTCTAAATTTTCACAGAAATTTTAAGTTATACATTTTATTAGTTACGGTCTATTAGATAACTCATACATTGTGTGTACCCACATATTAAATTGATAATTTTTTATATTTGAGGTACAATGGATTTAAGGAAGACCGTCAGCATGAAATAAAAATATAAAAGAAGCAACTGCGAGACATTGTTAATACATATTAGTGTGCGCACGCCAATACCAGAACAAAACCATATTAATGGCATGCGCTCAACCAGATGGCAATATACTATTAGGAGACGCATCAGGAATTTGAACCCGAAGTAGTACACTCAACCAATCAGTGGTTCTTACTTGCTTTCCGGCAAAAAACAATCTCTGGTTTTCCGGCTTGATGTTGAATTTTTCTTCGACGAGTTTCTTGAACTCTTTGAGCACTGTTGTCCTGGATGTGGGTATTGTGACCGACACACCAGTGTCCATCATTCTTACTTGTACGTACATGATCACAGTGGCTTGACTACTGTAATTAGCGCTGTCAGACGATCAATCTTTAGTTTCTCGTTGATGTTCCGTCAATGGCGGCGGTACTACCCTGCAAGAAATGATTGTTTAGACTTCAAAGAATACACCAGTTAAGAAATGGTCAGAGGTGCATGCCCCTCTCCTTTTCTGGTACTTATAGGTTGATAGGGCAAATGCGAGTTCCCACACAAGACAAAGCAGGTAACAATCACCCATAAGTAAATTCTTACATAAAAATAATACTACCATAACACGTAAGGTAATAATGCATAGTATTTCGGACATCCAAAAATATATTCCTATACTCCGTTTCACGAGAGAAGGTACACGAGTCGCGCATCCGACTGCCGCCGTCAACAGCGCGGAGGCCAAATTTTCCCCACTTTTAACTGCCCGGCGGCAGTGAACGATCGGGCGAAATTGGTGGGAGATGCGCATCGACAGACGAAAAAACGTGTACCTTCTCTCGTGAAATTGAGTATACAAGAAAATGGAAAAATGTTGATACTATAAGCACAGAATAGAGAAATATAAGTAAAAGAAATGTCCTCCCTACTTTATTCAACCTTAGGACAGACAATTTCAATGTAATAGTTGTTGTGATTAAAATTTGTTTGTTTTTGTCATAAAAATCTTCTTGAATCAATTTTTAACATTCACCATTTCTTTTGAATATAAATACTTATCGTCAATTTTAATTTTAAGTTAATATACCTTACTAACTCTGACATATGTACACATATTGTTCATTATACCTACCTAACTAATAATATGTCAATAAGTACAATACCTAAATAGTGTTTTTTTTCACAAATATGTATTTAAACAATATTCAATATCGTTTTAAAAACATTGTGTCTTCCTCCCCCAAAAAAAATCAGAGACCCACTTCTGGCCACTCCGGCGGAACGGGTCTCCCGAGCTGCAAGTTTTTAATTTTACCTGTTCTCACGAAACACAGTTGATCATCGTCGTTGTTCGTCACGTCAGGATAAAAATATGAGGAGATATGAAGTAGATACTGGAATACAAGCGATCGACGGAATCAGTGACGAAAATGGCTGATTTGAGTAGTAAGTGGCCGAGGGGTGACTAACAAAGGGCAGTTTATAGTATGGACAGCGTCCGCGCTCCTCTCTGGCCTCTGGGTCGGTGAACAATTGAAATGGAAACACAAAACGATTTTGGCGGGAGAAAAGAAGTGCGTGTCGCACTGTCGCGTGAGTGCGTGACAAGGTACTAGCCACTATATTGTTGAATTGTTCTATGATAGCAGGCTGGTAAATGGTAACGAAGTACAAACGGCCAATCCGCGGCAAAAAGATAAAAGTAAACTGACAAGATTACTGATACTATATAAAAGCGGACGAACACGACCGCAGCCGACAACTGCTGAACTGCAACGGACTCTTCGAAGTTTGAATGACCACCACCACGGCACGGACGCATATAATGGACTGGAAATGACATGGTCGGCGGGGATCAGGGGACGGCTACGAAACATGTCACTTGGCTGATAAGAATTCAGTTCTTGAAGTTTTCAGCGCTCCCGGTGGTTTTATTTGGCTGCATAATTTGTATCTTAGTCCGTGTTAAATACAGAGGTCGCTGTAAACTCCAAGAACACATAGCAACCCCCTGCATTATATGGACCAAAGAATAACTGTGTATGGACCATAGAGTAATATTATTCTATTTATGGACCACGGTGAGTCTTTTGTAAAGGTCTATGCTAATAACCTGAGGATGATAAGTGATATCACTTTACACAACGCATTTACTCGTCAAAGTGTCAAACGTCATTTAAATTTTAAATACCGAGCAAGAGTACGAAATGATGAAACAGTCGAGTAGTCGACACTTGACTGGTGTGAGGACATGAGGTAAATGTTTTCTATGGTGGGTCGTGACCATAAATAATACTTCGAGTTAATATTAATTCCAATCTAGAATTCACCAATATTCTTTTATAGTATTCAAACAAACTAGCCAATATTTCAATGGAATGCAAGCACTAAAATATTCACCTATCTCATTTTCCGATTGCGTTGCGTTTTTAAAATTCCAGCCAGAATTTTCATAACAATTATAATTGTCAGGTGTACCAGATAAGTATAAGACATAAGTATCCTTTCAACGAGCTATAGTGATTCCGAGAACACGTGTGCTATCTACTTCTATCTCATTGGTTTCCAATCGTATTTGTTCAAAGAGGTAAGTGTACGTCACTCAATATTGTTTTAGAGATCGGTTGGAAACTACTTATAAATTTATGAAAAAAACAATCAAATTTAATACTATAGGGTTATGTTTTATAGAACAAATTTTAAGGATCACTTGACTTAAAAATGAAGCCTTCAACTTCGAAAGCTAAAACAGTTCTGAAACGAAGAGCTGAAAAAGCGGTGGACAAAAAGAAACAGTAAGATAAATAATAATTTATCATCTCAATACTCTTATCTAATATTCTGAGGTGATGAATATTATAGCATGAATTAATTTTAGATTCTCAGTGGAACGTTGAATGTATTGAGTTTACAATGATGTGTGTGTTTTTTTTTTTTTGTTTTTTTTTTTGTCTGTGTACACGATAAGTACTCAAAATAATGCTTTGATTTTCAATTCGATTGGAAAGTGAATATCGTTGGTGCATTGGGGAGGTCAAAATTTCAAATTCCCAGTAATTTTCAAAAGCACCAAGAAAAATTAAGGAAAAACAGGAATTTATACGCAAAATTGAATTTGGTTTTTAGTATAACTTTAAAACAAATGACCATAGATACATACAATTTTCACTGGTTGTTTATATTCACATTTTCTAAACACAAAAACATTTTCAAAATATTTTGATTTATTTTGAACTGTTTAGGGACATTTTCAGTTTCCAATTTTATTAGTTTTTTTTTTTAATACATATCAGTAAAAATTTATTTGTTGAGTAAAAATACTTGAAAATTTAATAAAAGGCACCTACTATATTGTTTCAAAGGCAGATGAAAAATATTAAAAATCCTTAGTCACAGTTTTTTTTATAAGCATTTAAAGTTCAAAAATTGACAAAACATGGAAACATCACAAAAATTAGCAAATTATTTTGAGTTAAGAATTCGTTATTCCCACATCTGACTCAGTTAGATATCTAGAACTAAACTTCGATAAGCATCTCACTTGGAACAGCCATATCTGTATAAAAAGACTTGCATTAAACGCCCGTCTTCGCAGACTTCACACGCTACTCACAAACAACAAACACTCCAGTCTAAAAATTAAAGTTCTTATATACAAAACCCTACTCAAACCTCTATGGTCTCCAATTATAGGCAAAAGCGTCCAACATTAACAAAATTCAGCGATTTCAGAATATTGCTCTTAGGAAAATTACTAATGCTCCACCCTTTGTTCCACTACCTTTATCAAAAGAAATAATGTCTATAAGAAAGTCAAATTAAATTTTTATGAGCGTTTGATATTCAAATTTTTACAACATTGGATATTCAATCGATTTCTCATGTAGCGATTTCCTTATTTTGTTAGAATTCAAAAACGAATAATTCTAGATACATGAAAATTTCACTGAATGTTTATATTAGAATTTCCTATACACCATACAATTTTGAAAATATTTTGACTCTTTTTGAGCTGTTAATAACAGACATTTTCAGTTTTCAATTTTTTTAGTTTTTTTTCTATACATATCAATAAGTTTCATCTGTTGGGCCAAAAAGTGTAAAAATGTAATACACGGCTCCTGATATAGTGTTACAATATCAGTTGAAAAATTTTAAAAATACATGTACACAATTTTTTTTATAAGCATTTAAAGATTAAATTTTGACAAAATTTATCAAATTTAACATTGAATAATTATTTTGTTGTTAAAAATGTATGAAATGTTCAACTTTTATATCTAAGGATTGAAGATTTAAAACAAGATTCCACTTAAGTAGTTAACTCTGTTACCAAAAAATCTAAAAAATACATAAGCACAGTTTATTTTTATAGTCATTTTAAGTTCAAATTTGGATGAAATTACGTTAAAAAAACCTAGAATAACTATTTTGGTTGTTTTGTTGTGATTGTATAATATTATTCGTGGATACTTGAAACTTCTAAAGTATCATGGTTTGTTGTTGATGTATAATGCATTATAAGTACCTAATGGATATTGTGATATGATTAATTTGTAAGTTATTATATGTCAATTTTTTTAATACCATAGATAAGTATATAATATGTCTTATACCTTGACTGACATGCAGTCTTCGCTCAGAATCGTTTTTCTTATACAATGTTATTATATCATTGAATTCAAATTTAATACCATCCATTATACAGTGACCCATTTGTAACCTACCGTATAGCAGATCACCTTTTTTGTTTTTAGAGTTCATTACATAGAGAAATATTGGACAAAAAGTTGCGGTCAGAAGATTTTGATGAACAAATATTTAATTTGGTGACTTTCCGGCAGGGAGATGGTTTGGCCACCATCAAAACCCAGTTTAATCCTGACAATAAGACTACTGGGTGATAACGCTTTACAAGTGTGCGAATATAGAAAATGTTCCTCTGATGGAGAGGTAAATACTAGACTTTGGTTTACTTTTTAATTAAAAAACTATTGTTGAATGAAAAAAAAAATCATGTATTTCTATTCACTTCTCAGCTGATTGAATAATTAATTTATATTTCAGGTGTTGTCACTCCGGTTCATCTGTCAAGGTGACAACGTCAGACAAGTCAAAAGACCAAACATTGAATATAAGTTTAAACGAGACTATGCAGGTCATCTTTGACGTAATTTTAAAAGACCGTGAACGTCAAACCATTAGAAATAAATTAGCTGCAAGAGTGTTATATAAAAAATAATACATAAGTATAAATGACATTGTAATATATCATACAAAAATGAAGTGTCATCGTTTTGTAGATGAAAATATTAATTAAAATCATAGTTTTGTATATACTGGTTTGTGAATTCGTTCCTCTGACAACTGATGGGCAAACCTCGGATATAGTTTTTAATCAGTTTGTAAGCTGCATCAAATGTTGATTGAAAACTCGGTAGATGTTTCTGTTTTTCTGCGAAATAAAGGTCCACACAATGCTGAAGTTGTTCAAATCTGCAGAAATCTATATGTGAGAGTGTAATATAATCATAATTTATATGTAAGGTTATTGAACTCTGTAATTGAAATATAATTGATACAATATCAGTTGAAAATATTAAAAATACATGTACACATTTTTTTTATAAGCATTTAAAGATCAAATTTTGACAAAAATTATCAAATTTAACATTGAATAATTATTTTGTAGTTAAAAATGTATGAAATGTTCAACTTTTATATCTAAGGATTGAAAATTTAAAACAAGATCCACTTAAGTAGTTAATTCTGTTATCAAAAATCTAAAAAAATACATAAGCACAGTTTATTTTTATAATCGTTTTAAGTTCAAATTTGGATGAAATTACGTTAAAAAAACCTAGAATAACTATTTTGGTTGTTTTGTTGTGATTGTACAATATTATTCGTGGATACTTGAAACTTCTAAAGTATCAGGGTTTGTTGTTGATGTATAATGCGTTATAAGTACCTAATGGATATTGTGATATGATTAATTTGTAATTTATTATAGGTCAATTTTTTAATACCATAGATAAGTATATAATATGTCTTATACCTTGACTTTTAGTATTTTTGTTTTCGAATTTAGGTTTCACTCAATTTATACATTTCATTAAGTAATGATGTTTATTTTCAGTATTATTCATACATAGGTATTTAATTTAAATATAATTTTTTGTTATGAAGGGGTTTGATTTTTTTTTTTTTTTTCAAAAGTAGTATTTTTAAATACTAAGTTTTTTTAATAAAATATATTATATGTAATATTAGGTACCCCACAATTTTAATTATTTGTTGTAATTTAAAAATATTATTCATGGGTACTTGAAACTATTAGAGTATAGGTATTATTATATTTTATGCACAGAATGAAATTTTCAAATAGATTTTTCTGCAAAAATTAATTTAACAAACTGTACCTAGTACTATTGATTATAAATGTTATAATCAATGCTAGTACTAATGCCTAATCTTAAAACCCCAGCACCAATGTAGTTGGTGCCCATGCCTACATATCAATTTTATATTTTTATGTTATAAATTGAAAATATACTATAACATGGTACCTACTACTTACAACTGAATTACAATTTATATCTTTACATATAATACATATTATCAGGGCTCGTAAGTTCATGCATCTGCATGTTTTTTTTGCCACACAGGAAAACATGCTAACTGAGATACAAATCCGTTTCATAACAATAGTAATAATAATATGAAGTTTGATAGTGCATGTTTTTGCATGTTTTGGGTGTAAAGTCATATTTGGCATATAGTTTATTTTTTACAGTCGTTAGTGCATATTATTTCATAAAAATATTTTTTAGACAAATATTTGAAAAGTTTCTTCCGATTTTTGATATCTTGTTCCAATCGTCCAATATCACATGGTAAATTATAACGGTTTTTTAAATTTTTTATTGAGTAATTATTTAGCTAATTAATAAAAATATCGAAAATCAGGCTTCTTACGATTGTAAAAAAAGTTCTACTTTACAATTTTTATAATAGGTATTTTTACTGTAAAGCACTTCAATAAGCCGTAGGTATTACTTGAATTACGAAACCATGGTTTTATGCCATATTTTGTCTACTAATTGTCTATTTGCGCCCTCTTGTTGGAAAACATAAAAAAAACACTTATAAAATATATATTACTAAATTATCTCAAAATGAAAATCCTAATATTTCATTCCAAATGTTTTCATTGTTGGTGCTGAATAAGAGTGTAAACAAATTAGACAAAATTGACTACCTAATTAAAATTTATAAAGATACAAAGCTATTTGAACTTCACAAGTATTAATTTTATTTTTTATTTTATTAATTTTGACTGTTAAATATATAAAAATTAAAAGGAATAAAATACTTTTAAAATGTATGGATTTATTCTTATTATTTTAAAATTTGGTCATGTTTTTTTTACATAATGCATATTTTGAGTGCATAATTTAAAAATGTTAATGCATATAAATGCATATTTTTGAGCTTTTAAGTGCATATTTTAATGCATATTTTTACAATTTTTAGTGCATGAATGCATGCTTATTTATGCATTTTTTAGTGCATGAAGTTACGAGCCCTGCATATTATATATGATAAGTTATTCATGTCTATGGTCAAATAGCATTGTTGTTCACTTCCGAAATGAATTGAAATTCAACTAACCATACTAGGTACCTAGATTTCTAGTACTATTCTTCTAAAGATTAAGTGTTTCATGATTTTATCTAGCATACCAAAAATCAAAATTATAAATGTAAGTGATTCATATCAGATAGCTAGGCAACATGGCTGAATTATTTAGCTCAAAATATTTGAGGATAAAATGAAATGTAACAATACATGTACATACATGATACATCTAATACATTAAAATTCATTATTTACAAAGGTGAATCAATAATTATTTTTATATTAATTAAATTAAATTAAAAGCTTTGTGTTTTTATTAAAACGTTATAACTTTTTTCTTACAATGACCTTTTGAGATTGCCATAAAAAAGATGGCATGGTCGTAACTTTTTGACGGTCAGATATATCGGTAACCGCGTGATATACAGGGGCGGACTGAGGTAAAAAATCGGCCCGGGGGATCATAGGTAAAGGCCCAAAAATTACACAAATGTACATTTTTTAATGGCAATAACTTAGACATTAGGGATTAGTCCCAAGCTACAGTTTTATAGATTGCATAAAGTAGGTACCTACTGACAAAATAATCACGGTCCACTGGCCCAATGAACCTGTGAGGGCCCGCAATCATAACAGCCCAGAGAGTGATCACCCACTTGCCCTTCGGCCCAGCCCACCCCTGGTGATATAGTATTTTGTAATGGCATTATTAAAATTGTGATAGTGATAGTAATAATATGGGTAGGTGTGTGACTTATTCTAACAGAGTTGAACCAAATCCAGATTTTTGAAATTATTCCATTTTTTTATATCATGTTATGAGGTATAATGATATACCATACTTTCTTTACATAGAAAAACAAATAAATTAATGTAGTTTTAGAACAAATAAACTTAGTTAATATTTTAGAGTTTTAGACCCAAACACAAATCAGTAAAAAGTATTAAAAACTATCATAATGATATATTTATTTACATAATATAATATGCAGATTATTGGGCATTGGCACAACTACTAAGATGTATTAGTATGATGAAAACTAACTCAAAATGTTTGAATTTTAGTATTAATTGGTTTGCTATATTATTATACTTATATAGTTATATATCAGAAAAGTCCAACAATATAGAAAAGCTACAGTCAAATAATATATTTATATATTTATATGTATATTACTACATTGATTAAATAACAAATTAATTCAATTTAACGATCCATGGGTCCCACTTGTGTAAATAATATTTTTATGTTCACTGTATACGTACCACGGCGTATATTTTTATACATTAATCTGTCTTACGTATGTACTCAATTGTTTGGCTTATGTTAACATCTACTTTAGTATAACCTTTTAATGTTATTTCCAAACTAGAATTTTATGCAGCATTATTGATTAGCCTTTCAGTTTTAAGAATACTCAGGATCCTAATAAATAATATTACTAAAACCAACTTCTGGATTCAATAATATTTTATAGGCTTTAAAAATATAACAAATAAACCAATAACAAAATATTTTTAAACATTACATATTATATTGAATATTTTAAAGTTATTATAGAAATGTTTAACAATAATCCCCGGTTTATTTGATTTTTTCATTTTATGAAATTTATATTGATGTTAAACTTGAAATTGAATGTGACCACTGTATATTCATTGCCAATTATGGACAATAATGAATTTTTAAAAAATGTAGTTAGAAAATCGTAATTACTAAATACGGCTTGAAGAATTGTTGTACCCAAATATAAATTTAAAATGAATAAGTTTTAACCATTAATAGATACACTTTAAAAGTCTGTGCAATTTTTAATAAATAATAAAAAAAAAAAAAAAAATAAGTAGATTTTCATTGAATACTCCATCATTTGATCAAAAAGCTGAAAAATAAATGTATATTAAGGTTATATAATTGTAAATTGTAATAATTAAAAATTTTAATTTAATTTGTTTATATTACCTGTAAGGATATCCATGTGCTTTTGATTTAAATATGGATAGAATAACGCTGAATAAAAACACAACTAATGCTAAACCACCAACAGTCATTATTTTACGTGTCTTAGAATCTGTTTTCTTTGTATAAGAATCGATCATTATCACAGCTCCAAACACCAATATTGTATCTATAGAAGTATTAAGGAAAACTTTTGTTTGTTTAAACAGAATTGTGTACTTATTTTAATATTTATTAATTAATTTTTTTAGACACGTATTTTTACAATTAACAGAATGTAAAAATATTACAATTGTAGATTCTGAGATTTGTGGCATACACACTATTGTCATAGATACTTTAACTTTTGAATGTCTTAGAAAATAATGTGCATCAATATAGGTTAATTTTTATTGACCTCAAGTCAAGGGTTCCTGAATTAAAATAAATGTAAATGTCTACATACTATTGATATAATAATAGCCAATTGGTGAAAATGGCCAATATACCTGTATATTACATAATATTTATATTAAATATTTACATCCACTTGGTAAAATTATAATTTTTGTGGAATTAAATGTGTACATTTAAATATTATTAACTATAATCTAATTTCCTTAATAATTAAAAATATTTGAATCAATTTTATAGGTGTTGAGAAACAAAATTGGAAATGTAAAGAGATTAATCTCTAGAACACAATCACTATATCAAGTCAACTTTCAATAGTCTTATAGCATCACTAGGGAAGTCAGTATAATTTACAATATATTGGTATGTTTTGGTTAAAATAGCTGACTGCCACAATTCCAACAAAATTAAATTAATAATTATCTTTATTGTCTTATTTTTTAAAAGTTATAAATAGCAATGCCGGGCTGAATTAAATTTATATTTTCATCATTGTTTATTAGTGACAAAACACATTTATAATCTTTTTATATTCTGATTCAGTTCGGTTCCGAATGCCATCAAGTGAACACGTTTTCCGATAGTAGTATGCTCATCGCTCTCTTATCAGTTCGTAGTTATTTATACGGCTTTGCCTATAGTCCATATTACAATAGTAATTATGTCGCTACAATCTAACAGTAACGGTTCCACAAAAAAATAACAAACATAACCAATTATCTTCTTCTCTGTCACCAAAAACAGAGGAAAATAAAACTAAATTTTTCTGTAGTCCAAATTGGTACTCTGCTCTTACTCAGCACGACAACAACTCATTTTCCAAAAATGGTCCAAATCGCAAAAGTATTGAAACTTCAAAACTACCGCCTGTGTATATGAAATATATGAGTAATATCTCCACCTTAACCTCTAGTTTTTTGACTATTCTTAAACCTTCAGATTTCATTTGCAAATCTACTCACTCTCATCTGATTGTCTGCACGCAGACTCGCAAACATTATAATTTGCTTTTACAACACTTAATGAGTACTGATGCCAGTTTTCACACCTATCAGCCTAAAGCAATTCACTCGTTACGTGTAGTTATTCGCGAACTTCACCCAACCACTTCCCATGCACACATCATTGCCGGTTTTTCTGATTTGGGACAACACATCTCCAACGTTTACAACATCAAACGTTTTTCTGACAAAACACCAATAACACTCTTTTTTGTTGATATCAAGACGAATACAAATAACTTGGATATTTACAAAATTGAATTTCTTCTTAACACTAAAATAGTAGTCGAAAAACCATACCCACCTAAAGGACCACCTCAGTGCCAAGTATGTCAGACTTATGGGCATACCAGGAGTTTTTGCTACTACTTTCCAAGTTGTGTTAAATGTGGGGAAGAACACCTCTCGGAATCATGCAATAAATCAAAGGACTCTCCAGCCAAATGTGCTTTATGTTCAGGTGAGCACACCGCAAACTATAAAGGTTTGGGCAACTCACAAAAAGATAATTAAAAATAAACTCAAGACTTCCCCAAAGGCTTCTCCAACAGTAATCCCGGACGCTCAAGCCAAGCCCCAAGAAAGATCATATAATTCTACAATAGAAATCGTCACAACAGGGTTATCTCAATTTATCACTAACTTAAATTCTGTAATTGGGCCACTAATATCCCTCCTCACTGATGTACTGCAAAAACGTTTTACTCCATAGTTCGACCATCTATTTTTTTTTATCGCATTATTTATTATTTCCATTTAGCTTATTATATCTAATAATATATAAATTAATTTTCTGTTTCTGCCTTAATTGGCTTCTTTAGGTATGACTATATAAATGTCGATTATTATTCTTACCTATTTTATTGTATGTTAAATATTATAATACACTTTAATTATGTAATTTTAATATTGTAATTGTCGAACTATCATAGTTTTTACTATTAGTTCTAAAATAAAAATTAAAAAAAAAAAATCTTTTTATATTATAATATATTAATATTTAATATGCTTAAATAGATTTATTTTGATAGTCATTATTATTTTATTTTAGCATTAAGTTTATTAATTTACATGGTTCAACACAGCGACCTTAGAAAGACTACAGCCTGTTTGGACTATTCACGCTGTTCTACCTCTAATTCTAAGCATAACAATTTAAAAACGACCAAAGGATTCTCAAATGATTTTCAAACATTTTGGTTAATTTAATAGGTATGGATATTTTTTTTTAAATCTTAACACAGGGTATAAAAAGTCAGCCAAACTAAAACTACACTGTACCATAAAAATGATAAAAAGGATACTCAATATAATTATGATGTAGGTTTCAACAATAAACTGTCCTTGTGATGAATTGTGAATATATGTGATAATGCCTTGCTGATTACGATGCATTAGTGGCGGCCCTCTAATATGATTCCACATTTGTCCAGAAATCATGTTCAGACAAAATAACTACACAACATAGTTTAATGAAAGTAGATAAATAAAAAACTACAAAAAACTTACCACAGAAAAAACTCCCCATAAATTTTTATTGAAAAACATTTCCATATTATTTCGTCTGATGTATAAAAATGAAGAGCATATTGCAAATAAAATGGATAACGCCAATGTACTTGAATAATTTGGTGGTCTGAATATTCGAATCTATAATAAACAATTTAATTCATATAATAATAAATATTATGAATGATTAATTTAATGAATAAATATGCAAAATGTATTTTAAATAGTAACACATTACAGTATTTAAATAATAGCACATTACAGTAGGTATAACTTATTATTTTATTAAAAACTAAAACTTAAAAACTAAAAGATTTTTATTAACAGTATAAACACTGAACTGTAGAAAATATATACTAACTTGTACGTCAGTTCTTTCTTGTATCCATTTTGCAATCATTTCTGATGCGAAACCAACTCTTTGTATGTCCATAGTATCTAAAGGTTTTGGTTTACCTTTAGCTGGAAAATGCATGAACACTGGAGCAGTATTGATTCGCAACTATATAAGGAAGAATATTGATTAACTAATTGTTAAGAAATTTAAAAAAAATAACATAATATTATACTAACCATTTGAAAAATGTCAGATCCTTCATCAAAGTCAACAATTCCAAAATATAAAGGACTTTCAGTTAGTCTATGGGAATAGCGATATGAATTTGCTACAATTATAAATTCATCACTAGCATGCCTAAAAATATAATAATTTTTTTTTCAAATATATTCAATACACAAAACTGGATAATAAAATACTTCATTTATAATATTTATCAACAAAAAATTAAATTATTTAAAAAGAAAACATTTCAAGCACAAATATAAAAAAAAATCACCCGCAAATTGAACATTGTCGGTGTGATGCCATTGCAGTAAACATCATAATAACTGAATAGTTTCTTGGTGGTGATTTGACAAATTCCTTAAATTTGGGACCATTAAATTTAACCAAAAATTTCTTTTGGTATAGATCATTTAGCTGCTGTACTTTTTGATCAAGGCTCTGAAATACAAGTTCATATATATTGATTAATACAATTTTTGATTGAGTTAATTTCCTCAATTATATAAATAATAAATATATATGTATCCTACCCTTAACACATACTAATTATGTCCATTAGTATAAATTGTTATTGCAAATAAAAAAATATGAAATATCTTTAAATACATATTTCACTCCGGGGTTATAAAATTATAATTAAATGTTTAAGAGGTTAAAATGATATATCAATCAATTTGTGGTCTGAAAGTCTCACAGCTCCTCTAACAGACTTTTGGTTATATAAACTCTTAACTTTATTTATCCACAAATCGGACCGAAAAACATAGAAAATCTCAAATACGTTATAGGTACATGTATTTTTTGGGGAACAAATGCATTTTAGTTCCCATGAGATTTTTTAAATTATTTTTTTCTCAAAATGTGTGTTTTAAAGCACTGAATAAAAATCTAATTCAAAAATTCTTGCATTTTTTTACCAAAAAGGTTACACCAAAAAAATTATGAAACAGTAACTTTTTCAAAAATATCCTGATATCCTCGATAAAAACATTGAGAAAACTTTTTGATTTTTTTTTAAATTGTATGTTTTTATGATAGATGGAAATATGCAAATAAATTTTAATTATCGTATTTTCTGTTTAAAAATTCGTAAATTAAAACCAAAATTTACACAATATCACAGCTTAATATCACAATATCCCTCAGCAGTGACCACGCGTGTATCGGCACTCATCGTTACGCTCCTCGGTGCAGTCGCTCAACTCCGCAAATCGAAAATATCCCCCAAATTGTTATGCAAAACCACCTCATGTAGGACACATTGGTCACAGATATATTAATCTACATTTTTCATCAAAACTACTTTAGATAATATTATAACAAGATAAAACACCATAATTAATAAGAGGCGACAATAAAATACAAAAACGTAGGAAAGCAAAATGCATGCATAAATACGTAAAATCGTTAACTTTGGAAAGATATAACTTCCAAAATAATAGTTTACGAGAATTTTTGAATTAGACTTTTGTATTCAGTGCTTAAAAACACAAATTTTGGGGGAAAAAAATCGAAAAAATCGAGTGGAAACTAAACTGCATTTATACCCAATTGTTAATTGTTGAAGTTTATTAGCCCTAAAATTTCAAATGCTCACTAATTATGTGCACCCTGAAGTTAGAAACCGACTTTTTAAGTGATCAAAATAAATTTTGAATACTTTTTATTTTGATACATGCATAAAATAGATGATGTTCTAAAAACATTTATAGATATTGATTGTTCCAATTAAATTTTTTCTGAAATATTAGTATTCAAATATGATATTGTATAAAGATCTTACCTTAGGACGCTCTTCCCTAGCGCTTTCGACTAAGGAATTTAAAACAATAAAAGCACAGAGAAGAATGGTTTTCAAATACATTTTTTAAAGGTTTGTGAATGTACGTGAATTACAACAAAAAATGCATACTGACACTGAAATACTGAATAACTAACGTTGTTCCAACATTCAATTTAATATTGTGTACAATTTTACATGAACTTCGGTTTATTGAAAAGTTGTCTGTATAAAAATAAATGATGTACTCTAACACGTATAGCCATTAGCCGCATAGGCTGTAAACAAATATAATAAATTGAAAATAAAATGTAGTGACGTTGACGTTATGATAAAATTGCAAAACAAATTTCTTGCCGGTTTGATAACGTAATTTCATCAAAAAAGTACTGCCAACTTAAACTGTTTGTTAACTTTTATGTTTGTTCTTTGCTTATATTAATTGTTATCACCAGTAAATAGTTCATCTGGTTCATCATGGAACAATAATAAATAATAACTATTAATTATCTGAAGAACTGAAGAAGATATTATTAATAATTATTAATCACCATAGATAATAATTATCCATGTTAATCACGGACTAGTCCGTATTATTAATTAATAACATATTATCTTCGATCTTCCGTGTACGGTTTAACAGACAGTTTGTACTTTGTAGACACCGGTATCCGATGCCAATGACCATTTGCATTAAGATAAACAAACGTTACAATATAAGTATTGTATATTTATCTCAATGCCTGGTCCTAAAAAAATTTTCTAATCATGAAAACTAGAGATCTAGTTAATTATATATACATATATATCATATTTAGATCATAACTAAATAATTAATAACTTCAAAATAATATGTGAATATAATATTATCTAGGCTTTCGTGGTAATCATTAACGTCCGAGATGGTAATAAGGAATAACTAATAATGATAAATGATAATGTTATTTCGTTATTGTTATTTTGTACGTCTTATTATTGCCTAAAATTGTTTTCAAGTTGTTTTTTTTAAATTAACTAAAATTATATTAACTTACCAGCTTAGCATGGTGCCACCGTATACTCGATTTTTATCTTATTTTTTTATGACGTTTATTTTGTAAAATATATAAATAACTATTTTTCAAAATATTTTTATTTTTCGCTATCTAGGTAGTTTAAATACAATAATATTTTTGTTTACCCATCCTAAGTTTAACCTTTTTGACCTTATTTTTACGTAAAAGTCATAAATAATGTATACCTATGTCCTATATAAACGTGAATTTTAGTTCAGAACAAAGAAGTTTTCAAGTGCAATTATCATTAACTGTTTTTATTTGTAATACAAATAGTTTGCATTTATCATAATAAATATGACAATTAATAAATTCGATTATTTATACAGAAAATTGTTGCTTACTAAATACTTTGTGAACGGTTGGGGTGATCCTGAAAAACTTAAAAGGTGAGTAAACTTTTATAATATCCTAATAAAAATTAAACCATTTGTTGATGATTATACCAAAACATTGGTATCCATTACAAACCTAAGTCAATATAACAATAAAAAATTTCTTTTCTTAAAATCAAGTCATTATTTTAATTGCTTACTTACAATCACACTCCGGACACCTAGACCACCATACCAGTAGGTAGTTATAGCCTTGCAATTTGAATGACTATTACTATTACTCATAAATTTATATTTTAATAATTAGTTTACTTTGGTACTGATAATTACAATATAATAATAATGTACACATGTATATATATTTAATTTTGTGCATCACTATTTTAGCTTATTTCAGTTTAGAAGTCATATTATAGACCGAGACTCCTGTTTTAAACTTGTATCAGCTGATTATCCTGTACAAATTGTTAAAGTAAATAATTAAACACACATTAACTAATTCTAAAATATATATTAGAGAAAAATTGTAATTATTTATTTCAGAAAAAGGAAGATTCCGATTCAATAACATTAGAAGGAGTATTTCAATCACCTTTTTCTTATTATCTTCCAGATATAGTGCCAAAAGAGAGTCACCTTGCACATTTCCAAGTTTTATTACCAAAAAAATGGCCTTCCAAAAATGTAAAACCTATGTGTGTACACATGGCTGGCACAGGAGATCAAGTAATTGCTTTACTTAAAAATATTAAAAAAATAATTTTCCAAATAGGTTACTTAGGCAATAAATAATTTTAGGTATAATATATTTATTTAAATGTTTATTGATGTGATATATTTTAGTATTATTGGAGAAGACGAGCTATGTTAGCAAAACCACTTTTAAAAGAAGCAGCTATTGGATCAATCATATTAGAAAATCCATTCTATGGAAAAAGAAAACCAAATAACCAAGTGTAAGCATATACCATTATATACATAAGTATGTCTATGCGGTGTGATCGCGATTTTAGGTACCACTGAATATCTCAGATGGGCGACTTTGTATTGAAATGGGGTTTTCAGGAGGTGATAGGGATCACTTAAATACATATTTTCAGACCAATTAAAATTTTTAGCTCACTCGGTATGAGCATGCTCAAAACGACTTACTTTTTTTAAATGGCAACCCCAGTTTTTTTCTGCAGATTCGGGTAGAGTATTTTTTTTTTAAACATTTATTGTACTAAAAGTTTTTTTTCTAATTTCAAAATTGACCAAGTTAGAGTAAGTCAAAAATTGGATTTATGCATAAAACGTATTTAATGATATTTTCATTTATAACCACTGGAAATAATAAAATAAGTGTTAAATAATTAAACATTATTTTTAGTGTATGATATTTTGTCAACTGTATTAATTAAATGTACAAAAAAATAGTTATAACTTATAATGATAATAGTAATGGTAATATTATAATAAAAAATAAAATGTATTAAATACATTTATCGAATGAATTGTTCGAAGTTTTCGCCATCATGCTCTAAACATGATTCCAGTGGTCTCAAAAATTCAGTCGAAGTTGCCTCCTTGATTTGATCCTCACTTAAAATATCACATGCTGTTAGTATTTTGTGTTTTAAGTCTGGAAGATCGACAGGTGTATCTGCATAAACCTCAGTCTTCAAATTTCTATTTCCGGTGGTTATAAATGAAAATATCATTTAACACGAATTATGCATAAATCCAATTTTTGACTTACTCTAACTTGGTCAGTTTTGAAAATAGAAAAAAACTTTTTATACAATAAATGTTTAAAAAAATATACTCTACCCGAATCTGCTGAAAAAACTGGGGTTTCCATTTAAAAAAAAGTAAGTTGTATTGCGCATGCTCATACCGAGTGAGCTAAAAATTTTAAACTACTCTGAAAATATGTATTGAAGTGATCCCTATCACCTCCCGAAAATGCTATTTCAATACAAAGTCACCCATCTGAGATATTCAGTGGTACCTAATATCATGATCACACTGTGTATACCAATAATGGTCAGATAACATTCCCGAGCCTGGTATTGGCAACTATAAAGTGATAGATTTTCAGATGAATATATACAAGTCTTAATAATTCAAATTTTTTTATTGCCCCTTGAGGTATTTTTAATATGTTTTTGAGGTAAACAACCCAAAAAATACATATGTATCTCAAATTTATTTTTATTCTCCATGAGATTCATGTTATTGAGACACAATTGTATTTTATTTTTACTATATTAAGAGGATTTCAACGCAACCATTTGTTTTCTCTCTCTGACCCCTCGTGCAACATAGTAAATTTATGTTCAGATGAACCAACCCTGTGTTGTTACTTTTAATATTAGAGTGAATTCACTTATTTTAAAATTATAAGCTAAGGACACTACATTACATTTGTCCCTTCTTTAGATTTTTTACGATGTTTACATTTTTATACAATTTATAAGCATTTTTGAACTATAATAATTTACACACTCATAACTTACATAGAAATTAAAATATCATACAGTAGCCAATGTAGGGACACAGATAATGTTCTTAACTTAAATGTTGATATTAGGTAAATCACTATAATATTAAAAGTAACAACAACAGGTTGATTCTGCTAAGCATAAAATTGTCATGATGGGCGTGGGTCAGAGAGAGAAAACAAATAGTGTGCTGACATCCTCTTAATGTTCTGTTTTAGAGTATGTATTTTTATTTTAAATGGTAGTATAATTTAAATTTAGAAGAAATACTTAATGATGATGTAATATTAAAAAAATTTGCTTAACACTTGTTTGGTCACTTTCAGAATTTTAATAAAATATCTAAGCAATGTTTTTTACCTTTTTTTCTCGTCTAAACTAATATATTAATATCTAATTTCTGTACTATTAAATATTACATGCACCTCCAACTATATTGATTATTTATTACTACATTATTTATACACAACTTTTAAACTTTGTGCACCTAATAAAAATTAACTAGAATATCACATAAACAATTGTTAAATTATTTATGAGCTGTGTAAACATTCCAATTGTGTGATTGTTATTTAGTTGCAATACTTAAAGCATGATACAGTCATACTTCATATTCACATGTGTATTTATTTACAGTAGGTCTATTTTATGCAATGTTTCCGATATTTTTGTAATGGGAGGTTGCTTAATATTGGAATCCCTTGTATTATTTCATTGGTGTGAACGTGAGGGATTTGGACCTATCGGTGTCACTGGTTTATCTATGGGCGGACATGTAAGTGTTCTTAGTAAATATATTTGTATATTTTAAGAATTAATAAATTAACATTTATTATTAAATAATTGCAATAGGTAAAAATTTTATTGTGATACTCAATTTCGTTAACCAAAACCAAACTACTAATCCAGGTATCAACTATAAATATGCAATTATAGTTCTAAATCTTATGTAACAGATTAAAAATTTAATTTAAGTTCTAGAACTAAATTTAACTCAGTACTTATAATTATGATTTGTTGTATTTAATATCTAACATTTTAAATCTTTAGTTGATCCTAATATTCTTTACCACAATTATTTTTTAGATGGCTTCACTAGCTGCTGCAAGTTGGCCAAAGCCAATTGTTCTTGTTCCTTGTTTATCCGGTACAACGGCTTCTGGAGTATTTACAGAGGTTATTATTACTGCTATTAAATTATTAGTATGTACATAATATATTATAGGATGTCTTAGTATTCCCCCTTCAATAAAACTTAATTTGTTAATATTTAAAAAATAAAAAAAAAACAATGTTTGTGTTTGTGATAGTTAAAAATCTAAGATAACAAATTTATTGGGCTAATGTATTAAAATATTTTAAGAGTTTTTTAATTTACGTCAAGTACTCATTCAATTAGGCAAATGCTAAATTCTAGGTATGGGGTTGAACATTTACAAGAATGTAATTAGACATTATTTATTTTTGAAATAAATCTAATATATTACAACTTTTTTCTATGGATGCGTAAAAAATCATTTTATAGTATTCTATAAATTATATACATTAGTCGTGTGTAATTTTTAATAACTATATTTTTTATTTTAATATAGGGTGCTATAAGCTGTGCTATTGATTGGAATTTACTTGAACAACAATATAAATCAAATTCTGTATATAAAAATGAAGTTGTGAACATTGATAATGAAGTCAACAAGTTGAATGTAATTACTTTTATCTATTGTTATAAAAAACGGTTTTAATATGAACTATTTTTTTAATTATTCACATAATATTGAAGGTAATTAGGTAGTAATTTTTATACTCAAAGTAAGTTTTTTGATCAAGACCTAAAAATGGAATACAAGTTTAATCTTATAATTATTGTTTCAAAATTATTTGTCATTCTCCATTTTTATGAGCAACTTTTAATGTTCAAACACTTGTAATCTAAGCTTTGATGTAAATCATTTTTCAAATACCATAGTTAATCTTAACAATGCATTATATTATTAAAATGCTAACATTTTACTTCAATTTATCATTATGCAAATGTTTATATACCTGTAAATGGCTATTATAATATGTCATTAACTGAAAATGTTCCTACTAGATTTCTATTCTACAAATATCAAATATAAATTTAAAGGGAGTACTTTTACAACATTATACTTTTATCAATAAATATTAAACTCTGCATTAAAAAGATTACCCTTAATTTTTTTCCCACATAACTCAGTAAATATAATTTAAAAACAGAAAATGTCAGGCCTTACCTATAGGCTATAATGTATAGAAAGGTAACAGTGTTCATATAATGTATATTTTTCTAATTGAGGCATTCGTGTAGCATGTCAATATATACAATGAATTAATATATTTTTTTTAATTTTATAAATTATAGTAAAATTAATTAAATTGTCAAATAAAATTAATCAAAAGATATAATTGCAGTTTTAAAATAATTAAAAGTTAGATTACTTGCTATATAAATGTCCTAATTGATGATTATTATTTGCTTCAATGTTATAGGTAAAATTTAATGCCGGTAAACAATTTATAAAAAATATGAATATTGATTCACATTTTAACATCCAGTCAAATTTTATGTTTGATGATTCAAAAAATGATAAGAGTTCATTAAACATATATCAACCTCAACAGTCAAATAAATTAAAATTAACCAATGTATTTGATAATTTGGATGATCCGTCAATTGAAGAAGACAATGAACTACAAATTAAAAAAAACTTAAAACAAACAAGACACATGATGAGATTTTTCAATAAACAATCAAAAAGTGAAGGTTGTGTTTATAATACAATATTATTTATGCATATATTAAACAATATTATGTACTGTTTATGTTTTTAGATTTAAATTTAGAAGCATTAAGCTTTATGAAAGGTATTATGGATGAATGTACTCATTTAAAGAATTTCAAATCTCCTGTTGATCTGGATTTAGTAATAGCAGTTTGTGCGAAACGTGATGGTTATGTACCTCAACATACCATGGATAAATTAGAAGATATTTGGCCTGGTTCAGAGGTCAGATATGTCAACACAGGGCATGTAGCGGCTTTTATACTTCACCGAAATACATTCAAGTAAATTTAAAAATTTAAAGTACCTATTTATTTTCCCTCTTAATAAATTAAAAATATAATACGTAATCATGATTATAAAAACTATTATTTTATAGTTACATTAAAATTTTTTACTTGTAAACAAAATATATACATAAGCAGGGATTCCCGCAGAGAATTAGCCACTAGGTGCAAATTACTTTTGGTGTAAATATAAGCCGTAGAGGACAAATCCCCCCTCTCCCACACACTAACTCTTAATTTGTATGAAATCTTTACACATTTATAATCAGTATAATAAAATCTAACTATTTTTGATTAATTTTAATTACACTGGTCACTGATTTATTGATCATAATGTAATCACTATAGAAATTCGCTAGACTAAACCGGTTTAAAATTATCCCATATTATCCCGCACCGGGATAATGAACCATGTAAATGATATGGTCCAAACATCCCGGTGCATTTTTTTTCACACCGGTTTAGTCTAGCGAATTTCATCACTGTTACATATCAAATATAGAATATGTTGACCACTCATGCTCAATCTCGACGTACAAAGTTCATTGTAAATTATAATAACAATAATAATAATATATTATCAGTTATCACATATTGCAATAATAACAATAATAATAATATATTATCAGTTATCACATATTGCAATGTTAATGTTAGTAAAATTAAAATCCCAATGCATCATATATCCATCCTTTTATGACTGTACTTTAATAAACTTTTTACATCAGTACTAAAGTGCGATAGAGTTTTTCAAAATTGTATCATTTTGGCCATAATCAAAAATAAAAATAACAGAAAAAGAACTTCTATATTTTATTATATATTTTTAACTTCCAAATTATTAAAATAATGTTAGGCGGTGCATTTGTACCATCTGCCTGTCCCCTTCACGTGTCTCTGTTCATCAGTAATATATACATAAACTTTATGCATTTTAAATATTATGTCCTAAATAAACCACTTTTCTGACTTGTATAGACAAAATGTTTTTGCCCAACGAGTGCATTCAAAAAATACAAATATGCATATATTATAATTTATAATGTAAATATAAACTAAGGAATTTATCAATTTATATTTGTGAACTATATAATTTTCATTTATATTGTGTATGTAACTGTGGACTGTTCTATAATAATTTAGGTCCTTGAACATAATAAATAATGTGCAATAATATGTAATTTAACGGTAATCAGAATAAAAACCTCAATGAACAACCTAGGAAAAAAAAACCCTGACCCTAGAAAATAAATCCTCAGAGTACAATATTACTCACAACCACATAAAAATGATTGAACAAATATTTTTAAAACGCTAATTAGTGTAACTAACAAATTGTTAATATCAAATTACAAATATATACTTGTATCATTAAAAAGATTAAAAATCAAGTGGGTATTAAAGAAACATTAAATTAAAAACCAATCAATGTTCAAAGTTTAAAATATATACCTATTGAATACAATTTAACTTACTTTTATAATATATTCAAATATTAACAATAATATTTTGTTTAATATTATGTACAATTCTGTAAAAATGAAATCACCAAAATAAAATATTACGTTTTTTAATAATATTTTTACGTTAATGTAAATATTAATAATAATAATTAATAGGAGTCTTTTTTACAAGTTTTACTTATAGATACAATATTTAAAAATTAAAAGTTAATAAAATAAAAAATATAAATATTTCAAATAATCAATACATCAAAATTCGACTATCCAGTTTAAGACTGCAACAACTCAAAATATTGGTTTGTTGGGTATAATGGTTTTTCTATAGTGTTTCTCCACGTAACGTAATGTAAATTATAATATTGGAATGCTCTATCGTGGTCAATAATTTAACTATATTTTATTGCGTTCTTGAACTAAAATCCTCATAAGATGGTGTACATAACTCGGATTTGTTATATTTCAAGTTGTTGCAGTCTTGAACTGGATAGTCGAAATAATAGGTACAAGTTATAATAAAATAATAATTATCAAACAATAGTTATTAGTTAATGAGTAGGTACCTATTCTTTTAAATTTAAAAGTACCATTAACATATGTTGTTTAAAATCGACAATCGTGATATAAAACAAAATAATATTATTGTTAATGTTTGTAAATAATTTATTATATATTAATTGTTTAATGATAAGAACAGTAAAATCCATTTAAGATGCTCTCATAGGGACCACTTAAAAATAGCATCTTAACCATGAAATTGTTTTATACTGGTTATATTAAACGATTTCAAAAACACAGGACCCTTAAAAATAATCGTTATAAACGGATTCTACTGTATATATTTGTAATTAAATATTAATAATGTGGTAATTACTAATTACACTAATTAGCTTTTAAAAAATAGTTGATTAGTCATTTTCATGTGGTTGTGAGTAATAGGTATTGTAATCTGAAATATTTTTATTCTGCAATTTAATTTAGTCCCCCATTCAAATTGTATATAATATAAATATATACTTTTTGTGGTTTTCTTTTTTTGATCATTTATTTAAGAATGGCAGTTTTATTATAATTTTATGATTTTTCTTTTGTTTATAGAACTGCAATAATTGAAGCATTTCAACGAGCTCAAAAAAAATATTATGATAAATCTTTATAATTGTGTGATAAATCAGATGTTTAACATTTAATTGGAGTGATTAATTTAATGTAAGATACTATTGTGTTATTTAGATTATCTGTAGTTTGCATTAAACAAATCACCCCATGCCCCATACAACACTATTTTTATGAATATATTGTATAGAATTTTCTTATTGTAATATTTAATTTGCCTGTACAAACTACAATGTGATCCTGGTCATTTTATACACCAAGGACCAACACAAATAAAGTTATGTTTTTTAACAATATGTTTTTTTTTATTTGTTGAATAATAATTGAAATTTCTTTAAACTTATCATATAGAAATACAGGTACTTTCCTTTATATTATATTACATCTTAGTCCGTGCTACCACCCAAGACTACCTCCGTTATCGCTACTACCACTAAATACATGAATTATAGAATTCAGATTTGATGGTACTTAAATAAAAGCAAAAATATTCCTAACTATGAATAAAACCCAGAAGTTCATGCATTTTTTACTGAATGATCCAATAATTTCTAAATCAGGTACAAATTTGAATTACAATCTCTCAATTTCTAAGGCTTTTTTTTATTTTGTGATTTTTTTCACATTTTGGTTGTTATGCACGTAATAATCTAATTGTTTATAATAATTTGTAAAAATACCTGTCACTATGTTATGATAAAAAACACAAAAATAAATACATGAATTAATATTTTATGTGCTCCCAGACGTAGCCTTTTTTAACATACCATCATTTAAACCAGTTTATATTTTATATCGTTTACGATTATCTATCTATTAATAAAATTAATTACAGAAAATTATATTATTGGCTTATCGGCGATCCTCAAGCGCTTGTAGGAAAAATGTGTGACCGCGGGCAGTCAATATTATAATTTATAAGACAAACATTTTTAATTTTTCTTCCAAACATTTGGACTGTAATACTGTATTATTGGAAATAAAAAATATGCAGGTGTGGAAAAAATTGATCTAAGTTAAATATGTCTCAAAAAGTATAAAATTGCGTATACAAGTGTAAAATATGCACTAAAAACAAAAAAAACTCAAAACATGCATTTATATATTATAGGCAAAATAAGATTTCAAAACCAGCTTTGTGAAAGCATGAAACTTATTTGTTTCATACTCTGCTATTTTTGTGACTTAAGTCACTCTGATTGGGCATAATCCATAGATTTTTATATATTAATAACTATATTATATTATATTTATAACTGCTATACCAGTCATGGTCATACTACGTCTTAAATCAGTATGACTGCTTTAGCAGTTACTGTCCGTCAACGTGTTAAGATCTATAAACAATTTACAATTTTAAAATACTCATAGATCGCTTAAAAATTAGAATGTAATAAAAAGCCCATGAGGTCGCCTAGGTAATAATCCTTCTGTGCTGATAATACCTCCCTTCGTAAAGACCTTTCTGCTCTCAACGATAGGACACGTGTCGTTGAATCTGATGTGTGTAAATCATACATCTCACCTGCCGACAACATTCCTCAGCTTCTTTAAGAATTGTCCGAGAGAAAAATGCTCACATAATGTCACTGTCCATGGACTTATTGAATCTTCTGCTACTTTACCTGCTGGACGTTTAACTGAAGACATTCAACATCTGTCTGATTCTATTCTATCGCTTTCTAATTTCTATGTCCTTCCTCCGGATGTGATCATCTTCACATCCGGTGAACCAATTACCAACATATTAACCTACATAGCCACATAGAGAACTTATAATAATTCATATTGTAATTTAATTAGGTGTTATATGCCCACCACTATAGAGACTATAGAGACGCTTGTTTTACAGAATACCTATAATAACGCCTGTATGTAGGCGTCTTATCTTAGATATTTTGCTTACGCGCGACAAGACTATAGTAGGTATCGGTCCTGTCGGCAATTCCGTCTAGAACTCGACTCATTCGAGCTAAGTAATGAGCTTGTAGTATAAATCATATATTTTAAAACTAATAAAGTATAATATTCTCATATAAATCTAAAACGTGTATTCTTTTTATTAATAAACTATTAAACAACATTTGATTATCACCCGCTACACAGAGAACGGTTTCAACAAATTGTCGTCTTCGGATACAACCAGAGACACAATATAAAATATAACAGAACATCACAGGCATACGCAGTGGCGTTCATAACATAGGTAGGTACCAAAAAAATAAAACTTCTCAAACACTGTGTCTAAACTCAAGAGGAACTGGTGGGATAATGAATTCGAATAATAGAATGTCTATAAACTTGCGGACCAGTTTTGCATAGGTAGTTAACATTTGGCTTGTGATCTGATAAATTATATAGAAAACCAGAAATATGTACATTGCTGATCACAAAAATTTCTGTAAAGGTATATACGATATATCAATAGTCAATAGACCGTATAGGTACTGAACATAATATATAAGTTCTATGGATTTATCATAGTAAATAATATATTTTATAATATCTATGGCAATCGTCGATTAACAATTCTAATAATTTCAGTGATCAAAAAAATAATAAGCCATCAATATAGACGGACAGTTCTTTAAGCCGTATATATTATAATGTAACTTTTAACTCTCACATCTCGTAATGATCAGGTTATTTTCATAAAATATTTCGATTCTTTCAAGGTTCAGTTCTGAGCGAGATGAAGATGGATGAAGATAGCTGTTTCTTCGGCACTCTATAACTATACATATAGGTTTCACCGGAAGAGTCGATGTTTACTCTTAAGTTTGTTTTCATATTATTAATATTTTACATATTTTACTTTTTAGACTTAAATTAAATATTTATTTCCACGGACAATCTGTTAACTGGGTGACATAGAAGCTTTTATAAGTTTAATCCCAAAGCGCAATGTATAAAATACGCAAGACCGAACGCCTGTTTGGACTCAAAGACCGTCTTCGTTTCACCACAAGTTTAATGCGCAACTTTTTGTATATTCTATACCCCGGTTATCACCTTAGGTTTGGACGAAGTATTTAAAACAATATAATGTTATAAATCTTTATATTTTATATAGGTACATAAATACATTATACAACTCATATATTTTATTACCATACTTACACCTTTTTTAGTGTAGTTTATACCCTAGATGGCTAGATATAGGTATTAAATGTTTTGCAATTATATATTTTACTATAATATTTGTTTTTCATTATAATATAATATAACAATACACTTTAAATTAAATTAGTTGTTATCAAGACAACAGAGCATATTTTAAGTAATTTTCACTGGGTGGCACTTCAATAAAATTGTTTACCAGATGAACATAGAAGGGAAATAAACTCTTCTACCTCAACAATTTTAATATATGTAGGTTTATTAATTGAAGTCTACTGAAAAATATATCTACAAGTTTTACATAGGTTTATCTCTACGCTGAGACATATTATATATCAACATAACCGATTTTTCAATAATAAAACCTTGATAAAAATAAGTAAAACAGAGTAGGTATATATATATATATATATATATATATATATATATATATATACTGGGTGATTCTTTTATCAAACAACACTCATTATTTCAAAAAGTGTAAATTTTTTTGAAGATATTTTTTTACATAGTTTCAAGTTGCTTATAAAACAAAGTTTTTATTAAAAAATTATATTTTTAATTATTTTTTATCCTTATAATTTTTTAAGTTTTTTACTTTTTTAAATGACAACATAGGGTTTTAATTTTATATTTTAAAGTAGAATATTTTTCTTAGTATTTTGATACATGAAAATTGAATTTGGGGCGAGTAGTTTATGAGTTACAAGTATTTAAAGTTTAGACGAGCGGTGAAGTGGACAAACATTTTGCGGGGTAACCCCGAACCACTCCACTCCGCTCGTCTAAACTTTAAATACTTATAACTCATAAACTACTCAACCCAAATTCAATTTTCATGTATCAAAATACTAAGAAAAATATTCTACTTTAGAATATAAAATTAAAACCCTATGTTGTCATTTAAAAAAGTAAAAAACTTAAAAAATTATAAGGATAAAAAATAATTAAAAATATAATTTTTTAATAAAAACTTTGTTTTATAAGCAACTTGAAACTATGTAAAAAAATATCTTCAAAAAAATTTACACTTTTTGAAATAATGAGTGTTGTTTGATAAAAGAATCACCCAGTATATAAAGCTATCAGTAGGTATCTGTATTTAAAAAAAATATATACTAAAATTTAAAATTGCTTGTTTGAATCAATTGTTAATATTTTAGGTATAATAAAAATTTATATATTACATTTTTAAGCTTTTTGACTGTATAAATAATTTTTTATTGACATTTAAAGAAAAAAAATGTTTAGTTAATCAAATACATTCCATTTGAGGAGGACGGCGTATAACCAGGCTTTAGTTAGCAGTTACCATATACAATTTTAACATAATTTTTTTTCTCTAATTATTTTTAATAGCATTGAGAATTTTCAATTTGGACCTCCTAAAAATACCAACTAGATTCAATTTGCTTCCAAAAACGTACATCGGGCATCGAAGTTTATGATCAGAGCAATTTTTGTACCAGTAAAGTTGAGAAGTTACAAACATTTTAATATACTTCAAAAAAAATAACGTCTGAAATTATTAGACTGGGCAAAATAAAAATAAAATTGTAACTAATTTTCAAGCCCCCTACATATTCTATAAAATAATTATTCATATAAATGAATCCTAACAATTTAATGCAAGGTTTTTCATAAATTTATCTTACAGCAGCTCAGCAGCATTAAAATACCAAAAATACATTTGTACACATCATTTATGCACTACACCTACCAAATTAAAATTTTACAAAATTTTAGTTCCTTATTATGGTGTAGGTACTAATACAAACAATAAATTATTATTCGAAAACACAATTTCGTATAGGTACCTATATTATTATTAACTAAATACCTACAACTAAACTAAAAATAAACATATGAATATATGATTACATACTGATTGCCTATAATATAATATTATATATTTATATATGAAAATTGAATCTTTATTACGAATACTTATCGTTTAATACAAACCACAAGAAAAAATAGTTTAAAAAATTAAAGAGCACATCATTGTAAAATAAATACAATCATCGATCCGCTCAGAATCTAAAATCTAAAATATATCTGATACATTTAAAATTAACATATATCAATTATTAAATCATTATTATTAATTTCTTGATTAGCAGCATTTGGAGAAAATGATTGACTTAGAATTTTACAAATCTAGTTGGTATTATAGTCGGTATAGGTCCTGTAAATTTGATGAATTTACTGTATACCTATACCTTTATTTTTTAAAAGTTATGTAGACATGTAGTCCTACAAAAGTTTATCGGTACATCAATCATTGTAGAAAATAATACGTGGAGGGCTAAGCCCCCAGCCAACCTCATTATTCAATACTCTACCACTACTAGTGGCTACTATTTTCATTTGTAGATACCATATGCACGTATGTTGTGATCCAACATATAGCAACATATATAAAAATAATATAAAATACTTAGGGTAGATAGCATATTATTAAACAAGTATCCACTATATTGTCTATTAGTAAGTTGTCTAATGTATTTATATAATATACAATAATATACCTCATAAAGTGTGATTTATATTTAAGCTCATGATCCATGAATAATATTTAAAACATATAATGTTTAACAACATTAAAAACTGTATAACTTTACTCAAAATATAAATTAACATATTATGAGACATATTTAATACTTTTTACATGATGAAACTCAATGAAAGTAACTGTCATAATTTATATTTTGGGTCTTCATCACTCTTCAGTTGTATATATAGTGCGCTGGTATTAACTTTTTTTACCTTGATCGTTTTTTAAGGAATTTCTCCATTTTTAACTGACAAGGAGAAACAATTTTTGTACACGACTACACATAACATCTATGTATTAGATAAAAGGTAGTTATGTACTAATATTTTGTGCAGAATAAATAAGATTATATTTTATTTTATATCAATGTACGTCTATATACTCTATACTGTATAATATTATTTTGCTATTAAACCTTTTACTATTTAATAAATTTAATAGTACCTATACCCAATATAATTATTTACTTTGTAACTTTAATACGTCTTGTTCATGGTACCTGAATACCACGATATTCGTTAAGGGTACAAGCATAAAATTAGGAGGTAATGGGTGGGTAGACGCAGTGTATACCTGTGTGCAGTCCTGTAAAGTATTTGAGTAAAAGTATTTGAATAAAAGTATTCAAATACTTTTTTAAGTATTGAATAACTTTTTAAATACTTTCAGCATGAAGTATTTTGAATGGTATTTTAAATACTTTTTTTTGTATTAAATACTTTTTGGTATTGAATACTTTGGTTTTTATTTCGAACATTTTATTTTTATTCGAAATAATTTTAGAAATTTTAGAATGAATTAAGAACACAAAATAGGTAGTATCACCAATGGGTGGTTTCTTCCCTCAAAAAAAAATCATACGCAAATACCCTATGCACATTTGCTTATTGTTCTAGTTAAGAACAGATTGTAAATTTCATGTAAAAATAAAAAAAAAATGTAATAAACATTTATTTAATAAATAATAAATAAAAATGATTATAAATTTACTACCTATGTGTCTATATTACAATAATTAGAAACCCACTTTAAAAACCAAAAGTATTTGAAAAGTATTCCAAATACTTTTTCAAAGTATTTGAGTAGTATTT